TTTACCCAGGAAAGTACGGTTGGCGTAAAGACCCCGAGAGTATGCCATGATATGAAGATGTGGAACAGAGGCAACTGCAGTCAAACAGTGCAGTAGGATCTTCGCAACCAAGGTGACTCCCTGCATTTGGTCAGAAATCCTACACGATACAGCATCCAATCAATTCGAGTGGCGAGCATGCTGACGCAGCCTAATCGGAATGACCGCTGAACTTATGTTTGATGAGATTCGCAATGGGTAATAGATCAAACCGCTGATCAGATGCTCGTTTCGATGGTTTCTGAAAGTGCGGGGAACCTGGCTATTTTTCGAACAGGCAAATTTTTTTGAACACTTACTTCCACCCTTTTCACTTTGCTCCCACTCTGGGGCATTCTTTTATCACAGTTGCACCGCAGTTAAGCATTGGAGTATTGTGGTCGAAGATGATGATGTGTTACAATAAACCGCGTCCGACGCTGTGATTCGGGCGGCGAAAGACACAATAATACGAAACAGAATACAACAAAAACACCGGAGCCACCAGTTGGGTCTCCTTGAAGAACCCCGTTTATACCCATTGAATTGTGCAATGTCAAATGGTATATCGGCTATTCAGAAATTGCTGAGTGATTCGCTATACTGGTAAACGACCCTGCAGGCTTCGAACAACGAAACAAATCACGTGTTTCAAGCATGCATGGAAATACTGTTTTCTTCACCCCATATTAGCAGAAATCAAGTAGTGTACCTGTGAAATCACAGTTGTATCAATAAAGCCCACAAAACTGGAGAACGGGTAACTCTCCTGTTTCAAACAAGGGATGAAAAAAGTAAAGCGAGCAACTCATCCATTTGATTCATAAACAAATGAAAATTGAAAGCTGATGAGCGCGCACAGAAGCGAAGATCATCTAACTAGTCCATTGAACATGTAGTTGTTCTAGTCAGCTGTTAATGAAATGCCTCAATCGACGAGAGCAGTGCTAAACTTTAAAAAGGCGACACCTGAAGAAAAATCTTTCTACAATTGTATGACCAGCCTACAGCACCAAACTTTTTTTCGCTATCAGCGAAGCGACAACTTTCACTTAGACGGGGTTTGTTCAAACCCTATGCCAGTACCGCCTTCTCTATTCGATTTTTCATTGACAGCACATCCCCCTCGCCAAGTTAATACAAGCTTATCACCAATAGAGAAGACATGGAAAAAAGCGTGATGTGTGCAATGGGATATTTTATGTGACTTTCTGGAATGCCTCGCAGTGCCGACGAACCGATACCAAGGCATCGAAATGGAGCCTCTAAATTTAATGATTGAATCCAAACTTCAAGAAAAAAACGGATAAAGCGGTAATGAAACAGTAGCTACAAGGGCTTCGGGATCAGTGACAGCAATGAATCCTACAAACTACTTGTGAACTAAGTGTTTCGGGCAGGTTTCGATAAAATTCCACTGTTTAGCGCAAGATGGTCAGCTTGGTGCACCGGAAAGGTTCCCAAGAAAAGCTCTGGTCTACGAAACAAGTGACTCTACTCGATCATTATTTCTACAGCTTGTTATTAAGCCCCTAGGTACATGCAGCGAACAGTAGATAGTGTTGGTAGTTTCGTACCCAAAGTCGAAGTGGAACATCTGCTTACTGCAAGGCGTCACACATCGAAAAAAGGACAGCCCACCAGGGCTACGGAAAGGGTCAGGGTTGCGCCCAGCCACCAATGTATAGTCTGTCGTTCCGAGTACACCTATACATGACCGTTACTGTAAGCTTCAATTGGTTTGTGCGTTTCGAAGAGTTTCATGTGAATGGTTGGTAAACATCAGGTTATTCAGAATTAGGAACACTCTACAAGCGGCAAGCGCCGTAAGTCTGTCCAGTAGTAGATCTTGGTTCCGCCGTAATGGCGGAAAAGCAGTGGGTGAAACTGGTGCAGGATTCAAATAAACATCTCAAATCAAACTAGATTGAACAGCCATACTCTTCATATGAAGCAATTCATTATCAGAATTATTATTCCAGTGTTCCGGGCCACTTGCTGAATTTTGGTGAGTAGACTAAACTTTCAGTCGCACCCAACCGGTGTGTAGGTTATGAAAAATGCTGTGAAAGACTTAAGAATAACTGGGAAGTATTTATGTTTAAAAAACAAGCGCGTTTGTAAGATAGTCTCCAGTCGTTCGATTAGCGTACGAGAGCCCCATAGTCAGGATAACTAGACTAATCGCCTCATCACTCAGTAAAGACTCTCTCTCAGGTACAAACGTGTCGCTGTATACGATACTCACAAGTGTCAGGGTAGTTGCCCCCTTACAGTTTGAGTACCTTCCTAATCCGACTTAATCTGTATGACTTCCCGAGGTCGTACTCTGGCGTAAACTACTACATTGTCTCAAAACAACCGGTCCGAAACTGAAAAGCAGGTGAGAAACACTGGGACAAGAGCTCCAATGTCGCTCCCCATCAGATTTCCATTTGGCTTTTGTCCTGTCAACATACCGAAGATATCACTGCTGAGCTCCGTCGAGTGCTGTCAATTTCGGACATTTCCAGATCTGGTTGACTGAGAGGCTAACCGCACTCGCAAAGTACGAGTAAGCTTAAGCGGAAGTCCGCGGTTAAAACAACCGGTCCGAAACTGAAAAGCAGGTGAGAAACACTGGGACAAGAGCTCCAATGTCGCTCCCCATCAGATTTCCATTTGGCTTTTGTCCTGTCAACATACCGAAGATATCACTGCTGAGCTCCGTCGAGTGCTGTCAATTTCGGACATTTCCAGATCTGGTTGACTGAGAGGCTAACCGCACTCGCAAAGTACGAGTAAGCTTAAGCGGAAGGTCCGCGGTTCGAATCCGACCTCTACATCTTGACTGCTCTAGTATATGCTTAAGCAAGCAGACAGCCCTCGTGTGCCTACGGGAGGCATGGCAGTTAGGCACTGAAAGGACGTTACAGCTGAACGATTTTTTAGAATGAAAGAAAAACAGTAAACCTGCCACAAGAGTTTTACTGAGAGGATCACCAATTGGGAAGCAAGCCCGCATGATGTGAAGCTCAAGGTTGAAGAAACAGTGACGTTGTATTCTGCCCAGGTGCAGGCTGGTCAGGTACCAGTAGCTAAGCTGCAGAAGGTACAACCACACTTCTAGAAACGGATTAGTGATATTGTCAAAAATCGACTTTACTGTACACGAACTCTACACGGACGGCAGGTCTGTCTAGAACGAGAAATATCAGTGGAACAGTCGTGCGTCTCATCTCTATGGCAGATATGGATGGTGTTGCAACAGTGTTCATGAGCCTGTCGAATTCGCTTGTGGAACACGTTTCGCAACACAGAAAGCTGTACTTTCTTCAAGCTGTACCACAGGTCGTACGACCTAAGTGCTGGATATTTGGTGTAAAGCCATACGATTCAGAGGTATATGGGTTAGTGAAAGGTGACTTAAAACAAGTATGCAAAGGGTTTCGCCAATATAGAAACCCGTAATAGATGATTGGACATATGAGGTCGCCAGAGATACAAAAACATGCAACTCAAGGGTCAGAGGGGGTCCGCAAACTAAAGGTAATCCTAAAGGACTCCAAATTGAGAGCAGATATACCATCTTAGTTTTTTTTGAATTGAGGAAAAGCTACTGTAGAAAGCAAAGTCGAGCGAAATATTCATTGGGATAGTTCAGGTAGGGGAAAACGTGCTGAAGAAACAATCTCATGAAGATTCAAAAAAACAGCGTCGGGATGTCGCAACAGGATGAAAAAAGAACTCACCAGCAGCTCCTGTTTAAACCAGTAGCCCCAAGGCGACGTAAATGGAGGATAGGACGAACACAATAGACACAGGTCGTAAAAAAGGACAATGGCTGTCATCTCACCCCAAAGCTAGGTTAACTATGCTGGTGATGCAGAGTAAACAGAAATCGCCTTCTGGGAAATGACTAGTACCTAGACCTGATCGATTTTCTTAATAACTACACTCAATCTACCTTCCTTAACGGCTGGTGATGCAGAGTAAACAGAAATCGCCTTCTGGGAAATGACTAGTACCTAGACCTGATCGATTTTCTTAATAACTACACTCAATCTACCATTCCTTAACGAAAAAAACGTAAGCCACGTAGAAATACTGTAGTTCCTCTCATACAGCCCTCTACTATGGTCATAACGCGGTGTGCGGGGGCATATGGATAGCTTACTCTTGAAAACCAAGAGATACTTGCCCGTTGACCACAAAAAGCAGCAGAACCGTGTACTGTACTTGAAACACCTCGGCTGCTACTGAACCTGGGGGTTCGTTTACAGGAATCATTATGTTTGCGAAGATCCAACTGGTGAATCACGTTGGGTTAGACGAGAAAACGAACACAGTGGAGCATAGATCGATGCCTCCTGGAGTGACCGGTGGGACGAGAATATTAGTCGAGAATGAAGGCACCCTCACAGAGGTTTAAAAAACACCAGCACATCTACTGGTCTGTGGTTCATAAACGTCTAGTTGGAAGTCTGCCTTGAGGAAACGCCACTCTACTGATTAAAATGGTAAAGGCGTCGCACTTTCTCAAAACCAGCCTTCGTGCTTCCTTCCGTTAGCACTGAAAGGGTGCTACAGCTGAACCGTCTCACTAATTTGATTTTCAAAGCCCACATTGCTGGATGTACGGAGCAAACACTTTCTGTTTTACCCGAGGGGGGTTTGAATGAGGTACTTCTGTAGAAGTCCATTCACAAGAAATCTTTTTCCGCCATTTTCAATTACGCTTTTTCCAGTTGTACCAAATCACTGAACAAGCAGCGTTAAAAATATCCTTAGGACTCGGGAGAAGTCTTCGTTTGGGGTACACACAGCAGGTCAAAACAGGCACAGCTAAGGTAACCGAAATAAGATTGATGGTCCCTCAGATGTAGAAATTATTGACACGACATCTACAAAAATTAGTGCGGAAGCTATTACTCTGTTGCGGCACTGGGTCCAACAATACTGGCAAACTGCATTTGGCAAACTAAGTGGGTCGAGTTACTTACCTCAAGGGTGTCATCTCCACATATCTGTACACGTTGGAACTCAACTGCAGCTGACTCGATATTGGCCTCAACCGTATCCTCCTCTTCTTGTAGCATAGGAGCAAGTTCCGTATACATTGTGCAAGTACTTGGTGCCGAAAGTCCGGGGCCTAGCAAAGAGATCTCACCAGCAGCACCAGCTGAACATGGGATTGACATTAGACGACGCATAGATCTGCTCAACAGGTCTGTATCCAATGTAAAATCTTCTCCATTGACAGACTCATTCTGATCAGAGTTGTTGTCCGTCTGCCCAATAGGAGTTACAGGCCCCGGAGCTGACTTTGAATCACCAATTTGTGTGGAAGAGGGCACCATGATTGCTAGGGGCTCGGAATAATTTGTCGAGCGAGTACACACTCCATCCATTTCATGGTTGGGGTCTTTCAGCATATTTTCAGACAGCGAGCGACTTTTATGTCGTTCGGTGTCTTCAGCAGTGAAAATGTTCGAGGTTGAATTCCACTCCCCACGTTCCACAAAGTCATTGTTGGGCGAATGCGTTCCACTGCCGAGAGAGCTGATGGACCTGGGTGAAAATATGCAGAACAGGCATCAGAACTTAATAAAAATGAATTAGATCACGGCTGACGAACTGTACAAACGCCGATACGAGCTACCTGTGCGACAACTAAAATGGGGATAGAAAGTCAAGGGAGGCCTACAATAAAAATGGTTCATCGGTCACTGTTTCCGTGCACTGTGGATAGGTAGCCGGAAGGAAGCAGACAGGCTTGGATGGCGCTTGGTTGCCCAAGCCCAGACAGGCGCAATTATAAGTCAAGGAAGGATTTTAACCTGTCTTTTCAGCTGAGGATTCATTCACAGAACTATACGCGCTGAGTTGTGCTCTGAACCACCCTGAATAGAATCGCTTCAAATCGCAGCCTCGTTGGACCTTATAAGAGTTGCAGAGGGGAAAAGGCCTATGTCTCCGCGTATATGTTGGTTCACTTTGAAAGCAAACACTTCCATGACATTAATCTGCAACAATCTTTTCACTTACGAAATATTTATACAAATAAATTGTATCCTGTAAGAAGTAAGCCTACTTCATATCGTGCACTTTAACATTCAAGATATTTTGTGATGCATATCCAAAACACACTGAAGAACTTGGTCCGTCGACAATCTGACGGTCATGACCGGTGTTCCGGTTTGGGACTATCTGCCACCATCAACGTCAGCATCAGAACATTTAGTTTTTATGTCCTCGTTGAGGTCCACGAAGTGCACAGTGAAAAGCAGCAAGGCTATCTAAAACGGCTGGAAGCTAACATTCGTGTAGTGTTCTAATGCTTGTAAGCGGGATTCCCTTTGTTCGCTGGCGTGTGCAAATGTGTGGTGAGACTGCCTCACAAATCCTGACTCCCGTGTTATGGGCAACAAGATATGGCAGTGTCAGAGATAAGTGAACCCAACGTTGCCACGAAATCCCACCAATAGTATGTGGACTTACTGTACGACATCGAAGCATCATTTTTTAGCACTGATGTTTATACAGCCGACAATGTGAACTTACCAGAATAAACTGCGAAAGTGTCGTGCGTAGTTGTACACAGACACTATCAGCTACCAGAAAGTCTTCACCACCAGTTTTGTATGACCCCCACACAATGGACGACCGATAGAGGGAGAGCATCAAAACCGGCATAATATCATTTGTCACAGACGTCAAGTTGATACTAGTAAAAAAATACACACAGCTATTTGCCATCATCAACATAACCTGGTCCTCAATAGCGTCATGCCTTGTTTACAGTTTCCCGGTCGAATGACGCGAATAACATTGATATCCGCGCCTCGGACGGGGAACGGGGGAGAGGCTTCTTCTAGGGTTCGAGGTGCGCACAAAGTGCAGCTTACAAACTCTGACGGAAAACATGCTTCCAGTTTTTTACAGCATGAAATAATTCTTAAAAACAATACCACGTAGCATACGATTTACGCATGATCCTGGTGCCAAAACAGCCCTACAAAGTCATCTTATTAACCTGTGCATCGCTTGTCCCACAACGTAAGCAGTGTTCATTGTTATTCGCAAAAAAAGGATCGATCACAAAAACTTGTGCTATTATCAATTTGTCCACATGTCACGTACGTCTAACCATGTTTGCCGTTTAGCAAACTTTTTCTGCATTCCAAACGCTTCCTACGGGCCATGGATTTTAACTTATCCATATGATATCGTAGAAAACGAACATCAGGTGAGCAACATAAGAGAGCCAATGTTACTGAAGCAGGTTAACTATTTGATACTGAAACGAGTCAGATTTTAACACAGGTCATTAGCACACAAAGCAGAGAAATTCGCCCAAAGCCCTTTCCACACGCTATGAACAATCCCAAACCTTCAGAAGTCACAAACTACACCAAACTAAGCAAAATGAACAAACGACTATTTTCGTTCCACTGAAATGGTTGATAAGTTCAGGATTTCTGCGCGTTCCATACAGTTACTCATACTCAATTCTTTCACTTTTTTTACTCAAACGTGTAAAGTGACCACATCGTTTACTTGCTCAGGCTTCGACCTAGCCGTCTATAGAGAGGGGAGCATATTCGGAAAATAGTCAAAATTTGGAGGGAAAATTTTCGCATCAAGTTCCAATGACAGGCCCACAAAGCTCATAACCAGCTTTGAACTGGTCATGCTTTTGTGAAACAGACTTCTCATATATGACTGCAACAAAATGACAGCACGACTGTCGTTTTTTTCGGCGGATTCAGAGCTTAATGCCCGAGGGTTTGATGACAACTTTATGGAAACTGCCAATCTGGCAGTAATCCGTCCATCATCATCATCACCATCATCATCATCATCATCATCATCATCATCATCATCATCATCATCATCATCATCGACAGCATGACATCAGTGTTCAACACCGATGCTTCACTGCCGTAAGTAATCCGTCCAAGATGGGTTGTTTCGTGATCACCCACATTAGTCTCAATTTGTCCAACTTGTCTGGTCACGCACGTCAGTGGAATTGGACTCATATGTGGACAGCAGTCGACGCAGAGAAAGAGAAGCCACAAGCGTTCCAGGAAACGAACTTTTGTGTGTGTGTGTGTGTGGTTTCACAAGAGTGAAATTAATCAGAATCTGGGTAACAACTTATTACCCCAAGTAGGGGGTCAGGGCTCCTCAGAAACGACAGAGACGCTTTGCAATTCTATGGAATTAATTCAAATGGCGAGCTCGTCGTCTCATTTCAAGCTCAATACTAATGTCACACAATCGCTATCAGTTCTTGATGTCAGTGTATCAAAGCTTCTCAATTCGATACCGACGTCTCAGATGCACAGAATAGATGCTAGTATGACACGTGTGCCTACGGGGCGAGATGGTTAGAGCGCTAATTTACTGACCGGAAGACCCGTGGTTCGAACCCGACCTCTGCCTCTCGACTAGCCCTGTCTAGGCTTGGGCAACCTGACAGTATCTCAGCCCTCGTGCTTCTTTCGGGTAGTATGGAAGCTAGGCACTGGAAGTGTTACAGCTGAACGATTCTTTTACGGTATCAGTCTAATTCGAACGAATAATGCTGGATAATCTGCGTTAGTTTCGGTTATTTTCTCAACCTGCAAATGTGGCGAGTTAACGATGTCATATTGCACCTAAGGTGTGATACGCCTACATACATACACCAGACCTGTCCTGGTTGATCCTGATTACCGAGAATGGACGTAAAAGGATTATACTTCAATGGTTTACCAGAGGCTTATCCAAGGCTAGATAATAGGGTAACCAGCCCATACACACTGCAAAGCTAACACTATTCGACCCATCTCAACGTAAAAAGATTATATTTCAGTGGTCTACCAGAGGCTTGTCTGCATTCCAGGGCTACATAATAGGGTAGCCAGCCCATACACACTGCAAGACTAATACTATTCGACCCATCGCAACAACGGCAGAAGGCAACATCAATAGGATATTGACCACAAAATATACCATGATCAAAGAGAGCACTACCAATCTATCGATTCATGGGTGCTGTTACAGAAGCAGTGATAAGACAGTCAGAAGACAGTAGACGTCCCCAATCAATATGACAACTCACAAGAAAGTACTCCTAATATAAAGTGGTAGTGAAGGAAATGGATGCGTTCCGCAAACGCACCCTCGCAGATAACCTGTGGTAGTGATACTAGATCTTGATGGATCTCTAATCAAAAGATACTAAACACCCTGTGACAGGAGAATGGCATGATGGGCCCTATCTCGGCGCCGAGCGGCTTAGCATTTTTAACCGAGTTTTTGACATATGGAGGAGAAGTAATCCGACGAGGTGGGGGATACCAGCTAACTCACTGACCAGGACATGTGTCATCCCGAGCAACATTTTGACCTCAATTACGGGCAACGTAGTCGCAGGTGTCACCGTGAGTACCATATAAACAGATATCCGCGGTGGCATTTGGTGACCCGTTTCCCCACGACCATTTAAAAAAGCCATATGGCTTTTTTAAAGCTATATCGTTTTCGCCTAACGAATGACACTGACACCACCATCACCAGTCTGCAACCATAATTTGTAGAACCTCCAGCCGAGTCTAAGGAGGTTGAGGGAAACTCCTTTTGGAAGACTCGCAGCAAACAGCACTCAAACTATTCTGGGTTTTATCACACACTTTACAAAGGCACACAATATCTACCAGTTGGTTTTGCACAATTCAAAGAGTATCATTAAAAGCTTTTACCTTGGTACACACACCCTAAACCTCTAATTCATTAACTCCACTCATTCATTAACTCCATTGTCTCCACAAGACAGCGACCTGTCAAGCAAGCGATCCCTTGTTTTCGAATTATCTCGTTGGAAAAAAGACGATTTCTAGTTATTCCGCATGACTGAGCAAACTACAGAAACGTTATTTTGGACATTACGACGCAAACAGTGGACAGAATCGTTTCGGTATTCTTTCCGTCCTATTAGGTGTTGTGTCAAACAATTCATTCTCTGATTTATTCTAGACAGGTCGACAAAAAGATGGTGCAGTATCCGTCGCAAACTTTTGCCGAAATGAACAACTGATATCCATAAAATACTAGCCAATCCCTAGGATAAAATGGGCCCGAGACAACTGTGTCCATTCAGTGAAAACTTCCAATAAGTCCATTCTCATACTGTTATGCTGGATGCGTCGTCGTACCTCGGTGCCGCTCACAGAGAGAAGTAATAAGACCCAAAGGTGCTGCGCAAACAGCGACGGTCAAACGTCAACGGATGTCGTCGACTCCAAGAAACCGACCTTCACATCAATGATGTGTTCATCACCATCCTTTTTTTGCCAGAATAACACTGCGTTGCCTCAGTGGATATTGAAAGCTAATAAAAGCCACTACAACCTTTGCTATCCGAGCGGCTACCACAGATTTGATGAATCCACCAGCCGATATGCACCTAAACAGCATGTGAAAAAGCCCACGAACTCAAGGGACATAGCAGGTACTAGTGCTTTACATTTCAATGGCAAGAAACATTCCGTACCGACAAACCTTAAGGGCCAACGTGTTCGAGACGACTTACACAGACCGTCAACCTTGCTGTCGCGCTGAACGCCTGCTTCTTTCCTTCACTTTAAAGGAGAATGGAGGGATGAAATTCCCTCTCCAAGACATTTTTGAATTGTAAAGAGACCACTCAGGAGTATAGGTTTGGAACTGATGAAAAAGCAGACGGGTGAATCTGATGAATACATGTCAACCAAAACTAACCAAAGTACGGATCCGGGAATAATAGCAATACAGTTGTTTTTATTTAGAAGCTTAATAGAGGTATTAGTGAAACAGTTAGACGTCAATGTTTACTGGTGATCCATGGGTGACTGACTGTGAAGTCTAGGCTAAATAAATAGAAGGTATCAACCAAAAAAACGATCACACCATGTCCTCACCTTCCCAAGCGCAAGGCCAGAATGTGATTTTCCATTTCCTTCCTTTCAATTGGGAACTTCGGCATTACGAACTCGGGTCCAGTCTCCTTATATAGAGGATGCGGCCCATCCCTTCCCCGTTGCTTGATGTTTTCGGCCAACTCGACGAGCTGCGAATCGATCGCACCATATTGAGTTGTGAAATTTTGGTCGGCATCTGCGAAGAACAAAGTGAAAATCAAGAGCTATCAAAGTGCTGCCTTTTACCACATGAAGTGCCTGCGTAATGGAAATTTAGGTACAAAATAACAGGCAGTCCGAACTGAAAATAGTCCGGCTTTGAAAAGATGGTGCTAAATTGTACATTCACTAAAGGTGTCCTGATGCAGGGAGTTATCAATAGCAATAAACAAGAGGGGAGTGGCAACACAGGATCCGACTTACTTGGAATACTATCCATTGTTATCTTTCTACGGAGGATGCTCAGCACCGAATAGTGGATGGCGCTGTGAAAGAGGCTATTTCGGTACTGCGTTGGTCAAGCGCACGTGTATTATACTGACTCCAAAAAACTCCATATAACGCACACGACTGGAATACAAATAAGAAACGGCGTTCTACGAGGAATAATTATCGACCGACCACAAAAGAGATATGATGACGAACTTTATAAACAGAACAGCAATGAACTGACGAGCAGTGGGTGACTCGATTTCGTTTCTTGTTCCCACTTTTCATTGGTTACAATAGTCTCACAGGGACTACCTCGGTGCTCAATTTTCACAAAATCATAGCAAAAGGCTATCACCACCAAAGCCAAAAGCGAATGTCGGGAAAGGATCGTAATAACTGCAGTAAACGCACCGCCGGTGTTTAGCAAGTATCTCAGTGAGAAATTTCAGATGCCTCAATTGGCTATCATAAGAATAAGTTCAAGTAGATGGCTTATCGTTGAGCTTCACATGTCTATGAATCACCACTCAACCTAGTGATAAACTGTAAGCATGAACGTTTTTTTACATCGCTTCCCGACGATGTCTTGTAGCGTCGTCAGACATGTACAGAGATGTTCTGGTGACGCCAGTCCCGCAAGGCCTCGCAAAAAGACTGGACTTTATCCTGGTGTGACGGTTTCTGTACCGCCGTGACCCTGTAAGCTATATTGAGAGATGTCCCTGCGAAACTCAGTCTCTCATACAGGGTTGGGTAATCGTTAGAGGTTTGACGAACACAATCTCCTGATCCTCCAGGTTGGGGGCTTCAACATATGTGAGGACGTCCTTCTGTCTTGGTATGGGCGTCCTGAGTGTACCCCAGCCGACGGACAACCAGGAACTGTACACATAAAAATAAATTCATGCCACATCATCAATTGCGCAGTGCTATCAGCCGTGTAACCTCACGGACTGCATACAGCAGGGAGGGCAAGTGAAGACATGCTATTGGTGACGCCTCCCCTCTTCCTCTTTCACATCCTTTTTCTTTCCACTCTCCCCACCCCATCAATAGATCTATCCTCGTAGGTCCAGCACTAAAGTCTGATGACTCCGTTCGGTCTGCGTCCGTTTTTCGGGCAACACCTGCGCGTCATCCGGCGCCGACATCCCCAGGAATCTTGAAATCAACCTTCAAGCCTCAAAGCCCAGTCTCTCCGGCCGCCTTCAATGTCCTCACTCTGAAGCGAGCAGGTCGACAAGCTGCTCTTGCTCTCACACTGAATTCGCTTGGCAGTGAGGTGTGCTGTGTACCAGAAACAATGATTCAAGATGCAAGCACAGTGACTGAGTCAACGCTCCATCGGTCTCCACTTGTTTCCGGATGCGCAACTCCAGTGATCCGGAGGCTACTGTGGCAGGACGTGCAGGGGTTGGTATTATCCTAAGTCACCGCGCTGAAGGGTCTTTGCTTGACCGGATACCCGTAGATAATCGCCTCTGCGCGGTTCGTCCGGCAACGTCTGTAAAGGAGTCGCACAAGCTGGGAGTTTATCGCTGTCTGTTTGTCGTGTCTGCTTACGCCCTAACTGACTGTATCTTTGGCACCATCAAAGACAAGCTTCATGACGCCTTGAATGCCCTGTTGCGGCAAGTTAAGAGCTCAGATATTGTAGTGTTTTCCGGAGATTTGAATACACAAGTGGGTGGGCTTAGGGCATCTGAGACTCAACTAGGTGGTCAATAGGAACTTGACCTGGTACGTGAGGGCAATGGTGAACGAGTGCTTTAGCTGTGTGTTGCTGTGTGCGTACGTTGCGGAAAAATCGCAGTCCACCAAAATTCTCTGAAGACGTTTATTTACATCACATTACGGTGAGATCTGTTATAAGGAACATTTTTGTCAAGCTCACCCCCATTTCTGACTACAGCAAACTACTTTTCCTTTGTTGTATGCGGCGGAAGGTTTAAACAATGTCTCAGTGGCTGGTCAGGTCAGTTATGAACCGTTCGTACTTCGCATTCCGTACACGATAAAATATCCAGTTTTCCGATACGCGAAAGATGACTGAAATACCATAAAGCATTTCAATTTTCCTCGACCGTCCTCGGGTCGCATTGCTCAAAGGGAGTTAGGCTCAAAATGTATTCAAGAATTCCAACACTGACAATCACAAAAACGCCACATACCATGGTATATTGCTCTGGTGTTTCGACGTTCAGTGTTCTTGAGCAAAAGCAAATTACCACACAAACACGCTTTTGGGGATCGCCAGTCTTCGATAGTGGTTTCTCCGAACGCCCCAAGCGACCGTCGCCCATTCTGCTTGGTTCCCGCTTTACGTTCGCATGGATTTCCAACTGAACCGAAATTATCTGGTATCCAAATCGGCTTGACTTTACCTATGTTAATCCCCTTTACAACTCCAAGTTCAGCTGCCACAGGAATGCGCATTACTCTCCAACTACAACTACCATGACGTTCGTTACGAGGCTGCCCAGAAATGGAAGTATATTGATGCATTGACGACATGGCACTGCCCTACCCACACCGATGACACACCTGCAACTATTATCATCGTGTTCTCGACTGTTCGCTCTCACCCACTCGGACCTTTACTTGCAACCACCAACAGGTTTTTGGCCTGTCCCCATTCGACTTTGGGAGTACTTTGATCTAATCCGCTAAAATATTCTTTCGGATCTTGCCATCCAGATTTTGCGCCGAAATTTCAGTTTGTCCCACTCAGAAGTTCAATAATTTTACTTGCGGCGTTTGTTCAGCCTTATGCATTGAATTAGCAATACCCCTCCCTCCCAAGTACATTTTACACTTCCATCAGCAAAACCAGTTTCGATATAGACCGTACTACTGAGAAAAAACAGGCCATTTATCACTGCGTATTTCTCCATATCTTCAATTCCTAATAGTCGACTCATGCACAAGCCAAAGTCGAGCAGATGATTGACTGGACCGAGTCACTTGATCCATACCCGAAAAATCGCCTGCTCCAGATAGCCTAGGCCGTTTAACAGAGGTTTCCATCGATGGTTACCGGAGGCTCGATGGCGTCGTGACATGGGCTTGAGGGTAGAGAACGGTGTGTTCGAGGTTTGAATCCGGGGATCGCGGTCCGACTACCGTCGGACTCACGAACCGCATGCCCATCATCCCGAAAATTTCGTGACCCTGGCCATCAGCTGAGATTCCAAGGTCACTCATGGTCAGCACCGTTTTCACTTTCAGTTCAAGTCGCCGATCCCCTAGCAGCAAAAAGTTCTTACCTGGAAAACCTAGGTAAACAGAATAAAACTTTTTGCTCAAAGGCATTGCATTTAGTTGCACGTGTTCAAGCCTAAATTCGCCTCAATATACCTTCATTTCTTCTACATTTTTGGCGTGCACTAGACTTGGAACCTACCGTGCTATGGCTTCAGTGAGCTCAGTATTCGCACAATAGAAGTTAATTTTTGAAAGCCAAGACGTGTCCCTGATGGACGAAAATGGAGAGCCAATCGCGTGCGGAGTACGAATCTAAACTTTTGAGCCCCATCTTGACATACCAGAGTTACAACGATGCTAGGGAATTGTTCCAGCAGACTTTTTCCGCCAGGGGCATTATTGCTTCAGTGGATATGCATTCTGTGATGATAAAAGGTCGTAAGGCCGGACGTGTGCTTAGGCTGCAAACAGGGGAAGGTCACGACAGCAGTGAACGGCAGGGGTACCCAGCATCTTGTGCCTTCGTGGAGTGCGAACAGTTTTCTGCCATACGTGAACTGTTCTGCTTATCCAGGACAACGATAAGCAAGCAGTATCAGGCGAAAACCAATTTAATGAACAAGTTGGCGGCACGGATTCTGACTGCAAGAATGGTTCTCATCAACTCATGGATTCGCGGACTGATAGAAGCAGTCGGGGTTTTTTCCCATGCTTTCAGAGGTGGGCTTCTTTTGTCGCTGTGCGGCCTCTAGCTGTAAGTTGCAAGCGTGCAGAAGGGGAAAGCACGGCCTTCCAAAATCGCAGCGTAGCGTGGCAAATTTCAAGCCCTAGGGTTAGCTTAAAAATCGCTCAAGTATTTCATTGAACAGGGATCAGGATGCAGCTTGAAAAATCGTCGAAGGTAGGTTATTCCACGCACACAACTTCTGAAGTACAAAAATCGTCAAACAAAATTGCACGCTTCGGGCTTCCAAATCTCATCATATCCACGCCCCTGTATTTTCTCTCTGAATAGTGAGGAGCCTGTGGCAAACTTTGTTCAAATAACGCACAACTGAGTGGCAGTTCATATCGGGTGCAACGAAGTTCTAGAAGGAAGGGGGCAAATACAGCCGTGGGTGGCGGTCCACGCTGGTTCCCTGTTTCTGGCCCTAAAAAAGAGTCCATTTAATTTGCTTCTTAGAAAGGTGACTTATCCACTAAAACAGCACAGTTTCGCTTCACCGGCAAATCGTAGTATCCAGCCGTGCTTTTACATGGTCTATTCTTCGGCTTCTTATATACAGAAACGCAGCATCTCACGGAATATTTGCCCCGTTGTGTCGCATGAAGTTGTCCCTTGAAGAACAGTGAAAGTACCAATTCTCGAAAAAGACAAGGGACTTTAAACGAATTTCATTGGTTAGCTGTTTTGCGGACTAACACCACAGGAGCTTTGTGAATCATGTGCGTAGCGGTCCATTCTGCCAACTACAGCTGGTTCCATCCTAAGATGGCAATATAAACACGCCTTCTGCCCTTCCTATATTATCCGCAACTCCGTTCCAATTATCGACCTGTTAGGCTGTATTTAAACAACTCCTTTTCCTTTGCCTCCTTCATAAACTATGGGAGCTCTCTTCCCATATACGCACTGTCCCCTCATGTGTACTTTCAAAGACTCCACGACACTTGCCTTTCTATCAAGAGACCCGAGCGTCTTTTCGCTCCACAACTTAAACTAGACTCTTCTGTTGAAATAGGCCCCAAGCCCTAAGTTCTATCACTTTGTCCTAGTATGTAGCCTCACCAATTTGAACCCTATAGCTTTAGCCCACACATGAAATAGCTACCTTCCCGAATGTCCTTGTCCGTAAGTCGCCATCTTATGTATTTCTTATGCAGACGTTCCACACCCTGGAACTACATCTGCACCTGTTGTCTGAAGCGTAGATGTATTGCAGAGAGTGCCTAGCGCC